TCAATATATGGAGTCAGCTGTATTGCTTATAATGGTCCCATTCCAGAGCCCAGCTCATAATAAAATGAGCCAAGAATTATATACCCGGAATAAGGATGAATACCTAGTTGAGAACTTACTACTCTGTGGACCAGTATAAGTTATATCAAAGGCAAAGTATTAACTGTAGGATGGGATTATATTGCCTCAGGAAGCCTCACACTTATGAAATAAGCTTGTTTGCTTTTAAGGACAAGAGCACAGTCATAGTAGGTTATCACTCCAGTGTGTGGGAGTGAAACTACTGTGGGACACTTAGGCAAGAACTGTAATCTGGAAACACATTGCCTTTTTGCAGGATGTGGGGTATCTAACACACTGTGCTCACACTGTTGCAATATGCTGCAGGGGAATTCAAGCAGTCCAGCACCAAAGGGGAAATACGAGCATAAGACACCTCGCCTCTTTGCTAGAAATAGGCAGCAACGCTAAGACTAGAGATGGTGTAAGCCTTTCAAACATTAATGGGATGCGCTCAGGAAAAGATGCATTAGCAAAACACACCGCCTTAGCTGTAGAATGGGATGGTCAATCCTCTAACAAAAGATAATATGATTCCATTTACAGCACTGTTATATTTAACAAAGATGGCTTCACCATCATTACTAAAACTTGCGTGGATGTTTTAAGGAGGAGATACAAGAATTTAGAACAGAGATGTGGAAGTGAGCCTGTCTACACAGAACTAGTATGGTGGCAGCAATTGTAACATTTGGAAATTAGTTGTCTTAGTAAAAAGACAGTTTAGTTTTACAGTTTTTTTAGTTTAGTTCTATAAGCATAAAGTCCTTTCATGTTCATCATGTAGTATTTGAAACAACTGGATAAAACTGAATAAATATACTTACGAATAGGTTAATACAGTTTGTTTTCATAGTGAAGAGTGATTTCTCCCTCCACATGCTGTCTTAAGAGTAACTATACTAGTTCCTGGAGTTCTGTGATTTGTATCTCACCTTTCATTCAAAAAAAAGAAGAAAAAGCACATTCCTACTCTGCATGGTGATCCAAGAGAATATGAATGTGATTTGAGTGTACCTTAAGACTCAAAAATCAAAAGGTAAATAGAAAGACACCTGCATTTATGATATTATGAGTTTTACAAGAGGTTTATATTTCTTTTAGATGTGACTCATGATTTCTAAATGCTTCAGTTAGGCAACAGTGAGTAGTACTGGGAATCAGTTGCATTAGTTGCTAGAGAAAGTTGCAGTAACAGACATTTTAATCCCAGAGAGACTATCATTCATAGACTCTAAGTACTTTCAAAAATATATAAACAAACTTGCAATCAGGAAAGAAAGATAAAAGAGGTATTAAGATACTGCTTGAAATCCCAGTCCCAGTGAGGTCAATAGAAGTAGGACTGGTAACTTCCAGAGGAACACAATTTCACCCAGTGGTAGAACTGGAAGTTTCCTTGGAACGCCAGTCCTTTAAGGATGAGAGGTGAAATATAAAACACAATATCTTGTTCAAAAATCAATAGCCAGTTTTTCCTGATGAAGAACAGTCTCTACAGCTAAGTTTAACCAGAATCTCCTTTCAGTAACTTCTTAAAAATCTCCTATCTGGATATACTGATACTAATATATGATATGAAATAAATGGGGAAATTTTGGGTTGATAGTGGAACTATCCTAAGTTCAGTATCAACCACAAGTCATATTTTAAAACATTTCAAAATATTTTGGCACACAGAGATTTTAAAGCATGACTCGGAATATACAGACTTTTCGTTAGCTGTTCTGTGCATCTACATGCTATAGTTTCAAAGTGATTCATTTATTAACAATTCATAGTATTTACTTTCTTCCTGCTGCTAATTAAACAAGTTTCTAAACTAAATGATGCCATTGCTGTAACAAACAGATGGAACATACGAGTTGTATTGGTAAGATCATAGATGGTACACCTCTTTTAGGACAGCATACATTCTTCTAATGATAGGAGGGTAACAAAGCAGGTGTTAGCCAGAAGTGCACTTGTCGTAAGGATATTGGATGTGGGACTGACTGCTGCTGGTTTGGCCAGTGTCATAGGTAGCCTGAGGTAAGCACTGAGCTTTGAGGGGGCATGTTGTCTTTGCTGTATTTCAGCTTGCTGGTGGAAGGTGTGGGTTGCTTCTCCCTAAAGAGGAGTGGAATATTGGAAGCATGTCTCATGGCATTTGGGAACCAGCTAGCTTCTTATAGATTGGGTGGCAGGTCAGAGTGGGTGCATTTACGCGACTGGTTTAATGCACAATGGAGTTTATTTTGAGTGTAATCTTACACTCGAGGTTCTGTGTATTGCACTTATGCACAATACTGCTGCACGTGAAATGGTTCCTCTCCCAGTGAAACAAGTATGAAGTTGTGCACAGTGTTGCCATGTAGAGCAACCTAGTAATGCAGAACCTTATATAGTGTTTTTCAGCCTCAAAAGTTATGTTAAAGGAGGCCTAGATGAACAATAGGATTGGTTCTGCATTTCCTGGTGTGGCTGGTCAGGAATGGGGAACGAGATGCAGGAATTAATCATCACCATTCATCATCATCATCATCACCATCATTATGAAAGATGGCTTCAAGTCACTCTTCTAGCTCTGCAGACTGGCTTGATCTTCAGCCTGTAACTGCCTCATAGCTCCTCTACCGCCTCCTCTGCAAATGCTCCTCAGGAACTGAGATTAGCAGCTTCAGTTTTGAGATTAGCAGGGCACATCAGCACTATCCTCACAGGAGCAGACTGTGTGAGGGAAATGTGGAACTGTTCTTGTGGCTGGATCTTGTTCTTGGATCATTTCTGCACGCAGTTAGACAGCCAGGCAGAGGTAGGTCAAAATGGAAACTCAGCCTCCTGCATTTATGACAAGTCGTAGGTAAACCCAGGGTTTTGTCACTACGGATGGGTAGATAGAGACCCACAGAGGTCAAAAGGAGATTTTGAAGCCTCCACGTGAGGCCTGTCAGTGCTGCAGCCAAAGGGGCAATCCAAAAGAGCTACTACATGTCTGACGTTCAGAGAAGTGCCCGTATGCCGTATCTTTGTATTGGCACAAATATTTTGACAAACATACACGTTTGTGTATATAGATAAACAGATAGTTTGAACTGTAATATATTTGAAAGAGTATACTATTCCAAAGAAAAGAGCAAAACGCACCTGGGCAGTTGTAAAGTTAGAGAGAGTAATGCTCAGCAATTGAGACTCAAGAGGCAGTTTCTCAGAGCATTCACTTCTTCACACTTCATCTGCCTCCTCACAGCTGTGCTGTCGTGATGCCGGACTTCTGAGTAAGAAAAGTTCACGGAGTGCATCCGCAGAAATGAGCAAACAAAACAAAAATGGCCCCAGAAAGGTGTGCCGACGGGCTCTTCTTCGGATTTCTTTAGCCATTACTAGGCTACATTTGTATCCTTACATGGTGTTAAAAGACTTCTAGTAGTCGGTCTCGTTCACTACCGTTTAACACAAAAGGATTTTTAGTCAGACGTTCAGCTAGCAATTTAAGGTATGTTTACTGGTGTGACTGTTCTAGACTAGATCCGCACTTGCAACTGAAAAAGCGACTGCCAATAACCCTCGGCTCCTCTCGGTCTGGCACCTGCGATTTCCCTGACCCCCCGGCGAAAACGTCGCTCACAAGCCGGGGGCACAGTTTTGGGGGTCACGGCCAGCAAGCCCTCCGGGGGGGGACGACCTCCTCGCCTCTACCCTGCCCCCGCCCCCGCCGCGGGGG